GTATATTTCTCCTTTGTTGTATGATTTATCGTCGCTCAAGGTTTTCTTTGCTAGCATCCGTATGACACCTGCTTTTTACGGTCATAACAAGTGGTATCAGAGCGAGGTTCAAGACAGGTTCATCTTGGAGGGTTCAGTTCTAGCCGCAACATATTTGACGATAATCGTGATTTTTGTCTGAGAAATTTGACTGGTGTGCTACGCACGTTGAGATATACTTTGTGGTGGAAATTTGGAGATGCAACCTGTTGAAGGTTATGTGAAGAAGGTGGATCAAGTTTTTGTCAGAAAATTCCGGCCAAGGAGGAGAATTGTTAGGTGTTTGCCATAATTTTCTTACCATATTTGGTTTTCCTATTTGTTGAAGGAAAGAGCAATATAATTACCTTAATTGGGTTTTCCTTTTTGTAGAATGAAATTATAATTCTCCTATACTTGGCTAGTCCTTTTTCTTGTAGGAAAAGGTTTGGAGTTCTATAAATTGAAGATCCGTCCTTCTCATTCAGCAGCATCCACAATGTAGCCATAGGGGCTTGAGAGTAGTGTTTAGGGGGAGAACTTTACGGGACAAGTATTAGTCTGTCACTTGTGTTTGCCTCTTCGTGAGGTTGTTCTCTCGATATTTTGTACTCTCTTTTTATATAGTGGACTGCTCATCTCCGCGGTGGACGTTGGTCAGTTGACCGAACCACGTTAAATGTTTGTGTCTCTTTAGATATATTTCTCCTTTGTTGTATGATTTATCGTCGCTCAAGGTTTGCTTTGCTAGCTTCTGTATGACACCTGATTTTTACGGTCCTAACACTAAGAACATCCATGAGAAAAGATCCAAGGAAAATAAGCGCTTCATGAGCTCTTTCAATCAAATCCAGAATTTCAGCTTTCAAAGTGGCTCTGCGCTTTAGTAGATTGACAAACTTGAAAGGCTCAGTCAAAAATTGAAGAACAAAATTGACCTTCCTACTTTTGTTGCTATCCTCATAAGATAAAGAGAAAGCAGATTCCGCCTCAATCGCGAAAGATACAAATCCTACCAAGAGATTATTTTGTTTCTTGCATCCCATGTACTGAACTAGAGGATGAAGAAAATACGTTACCAGGAGCAACAATCGTCCGATTAATGCCAAAACACTTCCGACCACAATCAAACTTTACACACAAGTTTCCTAAAAGAAAATAAACCTATCCCAAGTACCAGAATAACAATCCGAGTACGATATGATCAAAGTTAACTATCATTCAAAACTCAAGAACTCTCCAATTATTCAAATTGTCAACTTTCGGCAAATAGACTCAAAATTCTCTAGGAGCATCCAAAACCAAATACGAACATACTTCTAAGTAGAATATCAGTATACGAACCTATTAGAGCCATCAAACCCGGATGTTATAACTTTTATAGCAAAGTTTCAAACACTTCACAAAAACACAATTGTGATATCAGTTTTCACTTCAAAGATATCATAATAGGTTAGGCTAGGGATAAGAATAAGACTTATCATTTGACAATAATACTAGGACAATTGAGTCATAACGAGAATCAGAAATTAAAGCAACCACTTAATATAGACGTCAAACAAGCCAAAGAAAAAGTTAAGATTGCACGATTGCATCACAGCAATGAACTTGAAATTTCTTACCAAATTCAAGTATTATATAATAAAATAACAAAAATTACACTTCAAAGTACATTATGATATACATACGACTAATAAGTGACTCTTTGGTGAACTTACCTAAAACGTTGCTTTTGTGCAGCATATGTTGTGAAATGGAGTTACTGACTTTGTCTGATTATAGTAATAAATTAAGTTTCTCGGACTTTTACTTTTATTGCCGCACCCGTGTCGACACAATGTGGGTGTGGGATCTGTATGGATCTGGTCAAATGATTTTGGGTACTTTGACCAAAATCGAAGGAAAAATTCAGGACAGATACAATGATTTCGAAATAAAAACAAAGTTACGGTCAAATTGAAGAAAATGGAATACCTTCTATATAGAATTTTTATGTCGGTCCTTTTCCATTCATCTCATTCTCGGATTCTCCCCTTGATCCATATTCTCTCCTCAGAATACCTTGTTAGTTCTCCACATAATGTCCCATAATTTAGGCACATTTTTATAACTCTTTTAGAGATATTTGAATTATTTTTAGCGGAATCTTAATACTTTTCCCGCACCAGTACCTGGATCCATAACCCCGACTCTTAAAATTTATATTCTGAAGGATCTGACCTCTAAATCTACACCAGTATCAGATACTCGCACCCAAGTCTGAGCAACTTAGGTAATAAAAACCATCTTCTTCCATTGCCTCGTGTCTCTCTAATTTCAGCCTACTCATTGATACAAATGAAGGATGTATTAAGCACTTTACAAGACTTAGTGAAATACTGTTGGTTTTTTAAAAGATGGGGCAGCAAAAAGATTAAAAAGTATTGATTGAAAATATCTTTCAATAATTTTATTAAGCATAACAAGGCTTTAATAGCCAATCAGGAACATAATCTGCAGAAAATCTGCATAACAAGAAAGTAGATTTATCCTAAAATTAAGCTAGCTTATTATGCTAAAAAAGATGCAATAGTAACTGAAGCAAATCATCAACACTCCTCCTTTGCTTCAATTGCTCTAAAACAATTGCTCCTCCTCAATTACTGCTTCTGCTGTTTGTGCTTGAGGATTGTGTTGAGCGTCTTTGAACTTACACACTTTTGTAAGATGGCCTGTTTGTTTGCAAATACCACATATTGCATCATGTCTCCACCAACAAAATTTTTCTAGATGTGTTTTCTTTTTGCAGTATTTGCAAAAAGGATAATTGACCTTTTCTTTTTTATTTTGTGCATAAAAAGTACCTTCAGTAACTATTTCTTGTCTAAATGCTCTTCTTTGTTCTTGTGCTTGAAGAACACTTATTAATTCTGCAACAGAGATGGTAGAGAGATCTTTAGACTCTTCTAGAGAGGAAATTTTGGATACAAATCTCTCTGGAACCATCACAAGAATTTTTTCAACTATTCTATCATCTTTAAAATCCTCGCCAAGCAACCTGATTCTATTAACAATAGAAGAAATCCGATCAGAATACCTAGTGATAGTCTCGTCTTCTTGCATCCTAAGAGATTCAAAATCCCTTTTCAAATTTAAAATCTGCATTTGTCTAACTCGATCACTTCCTTGGTACTCCTTTTTAAGCTTTTCCCAAGCTTCTTTTGTTGTCTCACATTCAATGATTTTAGAAAAATTGAATCTGCAGCTGAATTTTGAATCACAGTTTTGGCTTTGTATTTTTTGGTTTTCTCTTCTGAATGGTTTTTAATTTGGGCAAGAATAGGATTTGCATGGAGTGATTGTAATGGTCTATCTTCCATTAAAACTTCTCATAAATCATAGGCTTCAAGATATGATTTCATTTTCACTGACCAAATCTGATAGTTTTCATCAGTGAAAGTTTGTGGGCATTCAAAGAGAGATTGATGCTTGCTATGTTTGAAAATAGGTTTAAAAATTGATATTGGTTAAAAATGATTTGAAAATGGTTTTTTGAAGAATTCACAGATCCCGTAAGATCAATGAAGCTCTTGATACCACTGTTGTTTTTTTTAAAAAGATGGGGCAGCAAAAAGATTAAAAGTATTGATTGGAAATGTCTCTCAATAATTTTATTAAGCATAACAAGGCTTTAAATAGCCAATCAGGAACATAATCTGCATAACAAGAAAGTAGATTTATCCTAAAATTAAGCTAACTTATTATGCTAAACAAATGCAATAGTAACTGAAGCAAATCATCAACAAATACTCTTCCCTAAATTATGAGCAAGAAAGGGAACTGACCCATCATAAGAATTTGAAAAATCTTAGCACTCGGATTCAAGGATAAAGCAGATAACCTTTTTCTTTTCTGTTTATCTAGAGCAGGTCATTAAAATATATAATACTAACAAATAAACATGTTCTGTGTAAAAGACAGAATCGAAATGTACCCCAAGAACATACTGGATTAGAGTCAAGAAGATGATTTTCTAGCCCAATCTGGAGGCTGTATAGTAACTGTGAATGCATCATTTGCCATATCTTCACGCTGTGTTGTCTGAATTTCCTGGGCTGAATTGGAAACAGACCAGCTGCACCAGTTTATTTCAATGCTTCTTAGAGATACAGCGTCATCAAAATGTAGGGGTGTCAAATGGGGCA